GTTAATGTTGAACCCATACGAGCGAAAAGTGTGCAAAATATGCGCAAGGTCTCCGAGGGCACACTGACCATCAACAATGCTATTCAATGTCCATCGAAATGGACATCGTCTGCGCATCAATGGATCCCTGTTTAATCCCTCGAGAGGTTACGATGGTTCCTACCAATGACTTGAAGGGGATGTGATACTTATGGGGTGCCAACCAGGTTTGGATCATATGCAACGTCAGGAGGGAGGTCTATCTGGTTCAAGGCATGGAGCACAAGGTCTCGACGTACGGTATCAAATGCCTTTTCCATGTCGAGAGAGACCTGGAGGCCACCGAACAAACCTTGAGGACTTGCGTCCAGTTGTCGATCACGACAAAGCTGTCGAATTTGCTGGCAATGCTGTGAGACACGAAGGAGACACTCTGTGGTGCCTCTTTGCGGGAGGTATGCATACAGTGGCAGGCACCTAAGAGTATAGGGTATGCATATTGTTTGATGAGGTTGGTTAAAATCTTGGAAACAATCTTGAGAACAGGGTGCTGGAGGCAAATAGGCCCAAGAGCTGCTGGTTGAGTGCTGGGTTTACCTGGTTTAGGAATCAAGTGCAATCAGCCGGCAAGCCAGTGACTGGGTGGTGCCACTTGCTCTGCACACCAATGGTATTCAATGGCAACATGGCTCGGACCCGCAAGCTCCGTGGCCAGGTGTCGCCAAATGATGGCGGGCATACATGGTGGGGCTAGTGCTTTCATAGCTGGTAAGTGGCGAAGGCCCTGCAACACATCTTCCTGGGGAAAAGGAAGTGTATGGAGGGGTACATTACCAGGGTATTGAAAGGATGGGTCCTGATTCAATTCGTTGGAGTTCTAATGTTGGGTTGAGTGGTTGACCATGGTCATCATACATCTGAATCTTCTGAGGGCGTTGCTTGGGACACAGCTTTCGAACCTTGCGATACCAATCGTACGTCTGCTGACGCAATGCCAAATCAGCACCTTCCTTGAGGAAATCTTCCAACATCTAGCGCTTATTCTGTCTGCTAAATTGGCGAACTTGCTTGTGATATCTTCGAAACAAAGCAAGGTGCTTCCAGGCAGTGAAAAGGGAAGCGGGCGAGCGATCAATCAATACACGAATATGTTTTCTAGCCTACCCCATGCGGGCTGTAATGGAGGCAAGTGGATTGCATGCTACTGATGTGGATGTTCGTTTAGGAAACCATGCCTTGCTAAGATCAATCAATGAGCTTTCAATTTTATGAAAGTAGGAGGGACTAGTCTCATTGGTTGATTGCAAAAGTTGTCTGGCCTCCCAACAAAATCCCTGCCAGCGCTGGGTGTTCTGCGTCATATCCTGTCGAATGCGGTGACGGTCGAAGAGGACAATCGGCTTGGGTCGTGGTCCAGGGAACCATTTGGGGATGGTCCAAACCAATGGATGATGATGTGGGCCTAGTTGCCCAAAATTGAAGGCAAAATCTGTGAGTAGTTGTGGTGCAACAAGCGGCCAACTAATCTGCTGTCTGCACATCAATGCAAAATCGATTCGACTGGCATGGGTGCCATGCTTGAACGTGGTGTGAAATCGTTCACGACAATGGAGTGCTACTAATTCGAACTGCTGGACCAATTGGGTAAACGTCTGTTTGTCCTGTTGTGCTGCCTGATGGTATTTGGGATCAACAATATGCACCTGATGGGACAAATGATTGAGTGGAGTATTAAAATCACCACAGGCTATTATCTGATTTCTCTGGGGCAAGCACTCAAGACAATGCTGCAGGAGAGTCCAAATATGTTGCCGTATCGAAAGAATCTATTTTGTCCCATATTGCATGGACCAAGCCTGTTGGTATACGGTCACATAGTCTTATGATCTGGAGAAATTCAATCGTATCTGAAGCAGGCGGCCATGAGCATGGTGCGCTATCGAAACTTGGTCCTGTCGAATGAATTCAGAACATACCATGAACAGGATCGATGCAAAACGATCGGCAGAGTGCACGATGTGCCAGTGCGTGCTGCTCCACTCGTTGGTCATTGACCATCCTGATTCCTGAACGGCGATGATGTCGTAGGGGCTCTGGTCACACCAATATAACCAAAAATGATATTCAATCGTTCTTGAAGCATTCCATTGAAACATGCAAAGCTGCCCGGCCCTGGGAGGTTCGGTGCATGTGCTGGTGTGGTCATTCGAGTTTTGGGAGTTTTAGCAAGAATATGTTGTTTGATGCGAAAGGGGATTTGATGGGGATATATTTGCTTGCCCTTGAAAATGGCATATCCTTCCCTCATTCATAGCTCTAGCACAAGCTTTAGGATATGAGCGCTTCAATCTATTGCATCGTAAGCGTGACGCAATAAGGCCTAGGCCCGACGACGCCCATGCCTCATGGCATTTCGCAAGAGTGCCTCAAGTGCATGTTCACGGCTGCTCCCAAAGGCCAGATGGATAACCCTCGCGCCGAATCCTCGGATTTCTAGAGCTAGATCCTAAATGACTTGAGGATTCTCCGGACTTGCGGCTCGGCCTACTCAAATAAACAAATAATAACGCAATCGAAGGCCAAACTAACAGCATAAGAATGGCTAATCGAGACGAAAATTCAACACAGAATCAAGATCGATCGAAATATAACGCCGCCCCACGAATCCCAAATCGCGCATTACTCTTAAATTAGGATGGCGTTTAACCAACCAATAATAAATCAAAATAGTTCAATTCATACAAATAATCTAAACTATAATAAATAACCAATATAAATATAAAATACATTTTTTTTAAAATAAAACAAATCAAAATCAAAAAACAAAAACCATAAAAACAAATAAAAAAATAGATATTTTTTTATTATATATTCCTTTTTATTAGACCAATCACAAATTTCAATCCCATAAAATTGTTCCATCAAAAAATAAACAAAAATATCGCATTAAATATTTTGATATGACATTTTAAATAAATCATTCAAAATAAAAATATAAACATATATAAAATATCATTTTAATTAAACCCACAATAGTGCCGAATCCTTCTTCATCATCCATCTTCTTCAAAATCTTCGCGACAAAAAATTCGAACTAAATACTACAACCAAAACAAAAAACATAAATATCCGCCGACCCCAGCCTAGCCGCAGCCTAGGCGGGAGGAGCCTGGGACACCGCAGGGTGCAACCTTGGCATTGGCATCTCCACCTTTGTGGGCTTTAGCGCAGGCCACAGCTAGCCTGTCCGAAGCCACGCAGCCTAGGCATGGCCTGGACGCCACGTACGGTGCTAGCAGCCAAGGCCAACCTCTTCTTTTCTAGGCTTCCGAAGGCAACGGCCCCCCTCAAACCCCTCAAATCCCTCTCGGCGCCTCGCAGGGTGCAACCTTGGCATTGGCATCTCCACCTTTGTGGGCTTTAGCACAGGCCACAGCTAGCCTGTCCGAAGCCACGCAGCCTAGGCATGGCCTGGGTTACCACGTACGGTGTTAGCAGCCGAGGCCAACCTCTTCTTTTCCAGGCTTCCGAAGGCAACGGCCCCCCTCAAACCCTCCTCGGCGCCTTTGGCCGCAAACCTGCAACCCAGCTAGGCATTTTGCCCGTGCGTTAGCTTTTCATCGCTCGTCCGCGGGGGATTTGAGGATTTCTAACTGCCACCGTGCCAAGACCGGACCAAGCCCACAGACCAGCGACCATTCGTAAGCAGCAATGTCAGCACCTGGGCTGCATCACCGCAAGCCTCACCTGGTCAGCTCTGAGCTGCCAAGCATAGTCCTTACAAACGGTCGCCGATCCGCGTACGTTGTCCTTTGTTGGCCAGATAGCCATTGGAATCCCCAAATTCCAAATTCATTAAATTATATCAAAATCATTGCCCCTACAGAATCACCCCACCACGACCGTACATAATACTAGCACTCCCTAGCTTCAGCCTCCTAAGGCTAGCTTCTTTCCCTAGACGAGCAACCCCCCGGAATTGCAGAAATGCCTTCAATTATATATGCTACACTCCTCCTAAAAAAAAAAAAGGCGGCACCCAGACGAAACCCTTATATATTAATATTATATTTTTAAAATTCTATTAAATTTAATCAATATATTTTTATTACGATTCTATAAATCATTATCGTTTCAATAACCTATATTGCAAATTCTATAATCTATACCATTCCATTTCCCATAATCACCTTTTTTATTACATTATCAATCAATCCATAACATTCCTAAATAATAATCGAACTATATTTCGAAAATCTTTCGTAATCAATTTATTTTAAAAAAGACACGAAAAAACAAAAATATTATATTCGATATAATAATTTATCCCCTCGAAAACGACCTTTCGTAAATATATATTTATATACATTCTAAATATTTAAATATATATTTTCGAAATATTCAAAAAGATGTTTTAAAAAACAAATTTGCACCATAATTCAAATCATCGATAAATGTTAAATCGAAATATCATAAGATTTTAATTATCGTAAACTTATAAAAAAATAACGAAAATATTACCCCAAAAAAAATTAACATACTTCACAAAACAAATTCTTAATACATATTCCCTCGAAAAACATATTTCGTAATTAAAATTTTATATTCATTCTTTCTAAATATTCAAAAAAAATTCAATTATCCTAAAATCATAAGAGGCTCACGAAAACGTTCTCCAAGAAAAAAAATATATAAAGAGGGCGGGAGAGGAGGATCTATATAAAAAAATCAATTCCAAAGAAGCAGGGAGGGGGGGAATCTATATTAAAACATCAATTCGAAAGGGAAAGGCGGGTCTAAATTAAATAATCAATTATTAGATCCGGACGTCCCAACACTTGTTTCGCAAGACCCCTAAAGGACTACCTTTCGTGAAATATTATCTATTCCTCAAATATATTTTTAAATACATTCCAATTTTTAATGAAACATTTTCGAATTTTCGCTATATGGATTGATTGTAACTATAGTAAAATACATATAATACAATAAGTATAATACAATATTGGTTTCATCAATTTTGAAGGATCTGGGTCCGTTCATTTCCTTTTCTCCAGTCACGCTGGAAAAAGGTGCCTCTTTCTCCAAACAAGTTGGAAAAAGGCAACTGGCTCATGGGGCCAAAGCTGTACTAAAGCATGTTGCCTAGGCAGTTCAAATCGTTTTGATGGGAAGTCCATCAGCTTCCCAAGCATTGAACCCACCTTTCAGCACATAAGCATCTGCGAATTGAGAACGCAAAGATTCCCAGGCCAAGGTGCTCTTGTTTCCCTTCCAACAAGTCAAAATGATCTTCTTCCCTCGAAAGACTGGTGGAATCCCACCAACCCAGTCATCAAAGGGGATCACTGTAGCATCAGCAGGAATCTGCCCATTGGTCTGGCTCTGGATTTGTTCCCGCGTCCGGACATCGACAAAGGCCGCCCCCTTCTTGATCATCTCAACTGCTTGGGGCACCTCAATCAAGCGGTCCTCAGTCTGATCACTTGATATTGGGGGACCAAATAGTACAAAACAGCTTTCCTGGGATTGCTCAACATATACAATTCTTTTTTCTCCGGGTTTGCTCATCACCGCAGTCAAGGCTCCCCCAGAATTGGCCGAACCTGAGCCACACGTGCCTTGAAGGCATTGGAGCCCACGGTGAGCTCTTCAGATGTCGGAGGCACATATACTTTCATCGTATGATCACCTACAGGCACACATTACGGACAATGCCAAAAACCGTTGCTGGTCCTTGCTGGGCAATTAGGAGCCCAATGCCGCCAAAAGCGTTAAACGTTCCTCACCTTCTTAAGGATGATACAACATGATGCAACTCATAGCCGCCGAAAAAAAACACAACTCCCATATCCCTTCAAACTCGTAATATAACCTGCACCCTTTCCCCAAACTTGGCCTATTACGGCAGGAGCCCCTTGTGCTGCTGACCTGTGTTTGTCGACTTGCTGCCGGAAATACAAGCACGATCAGTACCAAAACCCTACAACATCAAACAGCACCAAAAACATCAAAAAACACAATCGACATCATTCAATCAAGGATCTGCTTGGATAAATATTCTTTGATCTTCTTCTTTTGTGCTTCACTGAGATCACCTCCCAACTGCGCATTGTATTGCACACTTTGCGCCCAGGATGCCCATGGGATCCCTCCAACCGTCGCGGCAATCATGCCCAAACGAAGGCTCCGGCAAGTGCTGCTCGGGCTGGGAGTCGCGCTGGGAGTCTCCGGTGTCTCGTGCTCCAGTCGAGTCTGTGACCCCAAAGGCAAGCTGAAGGTGATCTCCAAATAAGCCAAGAACAGCATGAGAAGGACGCTCCTGACCAGTTCAGGTCCAAGACAAAAACACAAACTGTTTTAAATCAAAAGCAGCGGGATATGAGAGTAAGAAACGTCCAAAGGACGTGTCCCCTTAGATGCAGCATCTATCCAAGTCTCCAACATTCTCATACATTCTCAAACAACAGCTTCAAACTGATTGAAATGCGAGGTTCAACAATGGACCTCGAAAAGACGGCTTTCCGTGAGTCATGGTGATTCTTCCATGAGCCATGGTGATCCCTCTGAACTTTCTGGATCTGCCTGGTCTTCGCTTATCTTGAGCCCGTGCTGAGTGGGTTGAGTTGTGAGGCACAAATGTGGCATCAGGACCTGTGGAGGACTCCACGATGATACAGGCCTGAGAAACACGGCGAAAACAAGCATTTTCATGCATTTTCTTCCTTTCACATCTGCGTGGAGCTGTCACAGGATCCAATTTGCAGTCATTCACGGTTATACAAATGATTGCAAAGGTCACCATCAACAGGAATACCGTCTAAAGAACACCACCGAACATCTCAAAGGCAGCCTCCAGGGCGAAGAAAATTTAGCATGAGGCTTGCAAGGTCGTAGTTGCTGAGCTTGGGTCTTCCTCAACACCAAAATGTAACTCATGGGACTCTTGGTGATCTTGATGAACCCGAGCCCCGTCCCAGTATGCCAGTATGCTGCGACCTTTTAACCCGACCACCAAGCGCTCCGCCTTCTCTGTCTCCGCATGAATCTGTTTCAACTCACAGCATTGGAAGCAAGAACAACCACCAGCAGCACGTGCCTTCTTAGTAGACAAACTATGATAAATATTCCAACCTCGATGAACAGTGGTCAATAGACATGGTCTAACGATCAATGTACATATGTATACAGTATATGTATGCATATGTACGCAATGTAAGCAATGTTCATACAAGCATCGATATAAAACACACAGTCGATTGACGGGGGTTGGCGATTAAGACAGCCACTTTCTTCCGGAGATGCAAACACACTCCGCATATGGCTTGGGCTGAAGCTTGCTTCCGCACCCTCGATGCAACCAAAAAGCAGTCGCATGCCTCAAAAACCAACCAATACATCATACAATATCGTTCTGTACACATGATAGTATATACAAAAAACACCCTGGTATAACTGTATAACTATATTCATATAGTAGTGTACTAAAACTGTTTCCCTCTAACATCAACAACTTGCTTTCCAATAGCTGGCGATCCACCCCTCTCTCAAAATGCTGATCTTGGTCATGCCGCGAATGGCGAATGGGTGTTCTTGAGCCTTGGCGCTGAAACTGGGAACGCAGTGGTCGGAATGGTGATGAATGCCAGTGCTACTGCAAGGAAAATCCGTCAGGACGTGCCAATCCTTGCATACCCTCCAGGCTCTCCCTAGTTGCTTGCGTACCAATATAGTTGTTCTTACATGTGGAGGAATAGTATGGCTGCTCCATGCTTTGAGCAAATAGGTATGCTCTGTACTTGTGGAAAGGGACAACACAAGAAACCGAGGGCATCGGTCACGGGAAATTTTGCCTCTCTGGGTTCGTGGCAGCTCCGATATTGGCTGCATCATGCCGCGTCCAACCGCCTCTTCGGGTGTGCGAAGGCTTCAGCGTCCATCTCCTGAAAGTCCATGAAAGTCCCAAATCCAGGCAGCTAAGCTGTGGCATGGCGTGCATGACGACGAAAGCCGGGGGGCATGACTTTTGAGGTGAAGAGCCCCACACAAGTGGCAATTACTCCGGATCATGCTGCAGGGTGAGAAAGGTTCGAACTGAGATCCCCCACCTAGTGAAGCAGAAATTGCATTGAAACAATGATTCAGTAATTCTGCTGTACCTACTATAGCAGAAAGGTCATGTGAGAAATAACTTGAACACCTTGTAGGTAGGAGAAGTTGATGGACCACTGCAGGCTATGACGGCTGGTCCAAGTCTCCTCGTCTTCATCCTGGAATTTGTGGCGTTCGTGGCCATCGTCATCCCTTCAAGCATGGTTTGTCGAGTGCCAAACCCAAAACATAACACTCTTGAAAGCATTAAAAGCTGAGCATCTTCAATGCCTCACTCAATTAACAATTTCATCGCCTCATACGTCAGAAACATTCGAGCCCTTGAAAACAGTGAACTCATCTATCTTCCGGAATATCTAGGGCCGCCCCCCGGGGTTTTGTCGGCCCGTGGGAAGCTTCATTCTCAGTCGAGGGGAGGCTGCATGCACAGAATCCCTATGTTTCGACTTGTGCAGCAACAATCAACCCTGATCTTGCTTGACTTTGAGTGATTTGCTGCTAGCTACTGCCAGTTCCGCCAAAAGCTGCCTTTGTTCTAGCTTTTCCAACTGGAACCTATGGCTCAAATACCCTGCCACGCATGTGCTGGGGGATCCCACCAGAAGCTCAGTTTCACTGGCTTTGCCATCGCAGTTGTGTTCGGCCTGATTTTAGTGGACAAGAACACCGTTTGAACATATTGACAGAACACAAAGCGCCGTTGCAGCTTGATCAAGGCTACTGCTGCCGTTACAATCCATTGGTTCGTAGAACATTCAAGCACTTTTCGCCTTTGATTTAGACTTGGGGCTCAGCATTTCTCAACTTCTTCGCAAATGAAATCCATCGGGCTGACACCTGCCAACAAAGTACACATCAATGTCAGCACAAGGGAGGTTTGGACGTGCTCTAGCAAGCACCTCACAAAACAGCAATCACCCCACAGTTCCAAGTTCCGCTACTGGGGGTCGTCAAACGGATGGTTATTTTGCGTCTCAGGCTCCAGCGGTTCGGACTGGCAGCCAATTGTCGTATGATGGCGTGAGACGCCTGCGCAGGAAATTATTGGTTGTGACAAAGAGTCCAGAAGAGTTCTCCTGGAAGCCACTTGCCACATATCCAAAAAAATCAAAAGCCCCCTGCAACTGTGGCACGGGACTTGCCAAGACCGATCAAGAAAGGACAATAGGGTCATGTGAGACACAGCGTATTCTTGCAGATTCATGCAAACTGCTTGGAATCGAACACTGTGTGACCTTCCGCGGGATGGAAGCTAGCTCATCAAGGGCGTCGTTGTTTAACACCTGAGTCTAGAGACTGTGGCTGTTCAGACCAAGTCAATGTTCCCAAAACATGCCAAAACATTATCTGTCTGGCCCTGTGGAAGAGACCTACCACCCTGAGATCTCTGCCATCTGAGAACAACCCAATTCCCCTTGCAAACTTTCCTTCCGCCCTCCTCTGCTCGCCCCCATCTTCTTGTAGATGAGAGGTGCTGGGTTGAATTTTGGGACATTGAGCTCAAGAATCTTTTCAAGCAAACGTCCAAGAAACTACTAGGGGCTCCTGGCCTTACTACTAGGAGCAAGGAGGCTACTAGGGGCTCCTGGCATCGCTACTAGGAGCAAGGACGCTACTTGGGGCAAATAGCTAAACTTTGAGTTCAGGTTTCCGGGTCGCTCGTAAGTGTCTGAAAAGCAACGCCACCCCTGAGATGCCCAGGCCAAACCCAAGGACACTGCCAGCTCCATGGCAAGGCCCTGCACAGTGGGGGAGACCAGCATGAATCCAATCAGCATAGCAGCATAGCCTCATGTCTAACGCATGTCTTGAACACGTTCCAAACATCAACCACTTTTTTCCTCCAAAAGCTTGGATCCACAAGAGTCAGCTCTAGAATAAAGAGCAGTCTGAAAAGTGATTCCCACTTACAGTACATGATCACGCCGGTGAATACGCTGGAGGGAAAAGCCCTATGGTCCACTGACAGTTATTAGCACCTACGACTCTCTGGGGCCAACAAAGCTAGCCATCATTATGCCAATTGCCATCCTACGTCTTCTTGCTTGGCCTCTCATGACAGAACATCAAAGTGAAATCAGCCAGCGATACGTCACAAAGGTTGTCAAGTTTTCCTCTGTCCTCGCCTGCTCAACACCTGGGCGAAGCCGAAGAAGGTGACGGTGAATGCAAGCGGATGCAAGCGGCGAAGCCGAACTCCGATCCAAGGGCAACCGTTTTGGAAGATTGACTTAAGATACTTGTCAAATAACAATCTTTGGAATGATGCCTTCCATTTGGGATATCGTTCGCATCCATGTCTTGCCGTCACACTTAGCGACTTGCCTAAGCTTGCTCAAGCTCTTGTCCAATTCCAGCTGAGCCCTCCGAACCACCTTTTGTGACTTTGGAACATCTCTTATGGGGCAGCTGGCTTGCTCAGGAACTCCTCACCTTTCAAAGCAACAATGTGGCTGTGGGCCAATACCCAAACACCTTCTCAACCTTTAAGCACGAGTGGTCTAAATCCTTGACTTGCAGTTTTTACTTTCGATGGTTTTGGAGTGCTTGGATTCCCTCACCATGTCGAGCTTCGTCCATTGCCCAACATTGCCACACAGGCTGGGCTTCAGGCCTAAGCCCACGCAGGACATCTGCACTGCTCGCAGCAAGTACTTCGACGGGTTGGCGACACCGCGGCGATTCCGACCTTGGCAAGTACAACAGTTCCGACTGAGAGAAAGGACATCAAAGGGCACTCAAACTGAGGACTATGTGGAGTTCGTGCAAGGGTAGCTATGGAGTGCCATCGAGGGCAATGAATGCCTTTCAGTGAATCCATACATGGCCATCCATAGCCCCATAGCTGTTAATTTAGAACCAGCGCTGCGCCACATCTTTTCTGGAATAAACAAATCACACCCTCCACCCACATCTTCCCATCCCAAGCACACCTCCTCGTAAGACCTCATCGATAAGGTCAGTGGCTTTGGAGCAAGGCAGCCGTGACAAGGTCTTTAGGCCTCCAGAACACACTGGGCATTTTACAAGGTGTTTTGTCTTTAAAGAGGGGGTAGGCTGCAGGGTGGGCCAACAAAAATACTAAATAAGCAAGGGCTCGCTAGTTTCTTAAGTTTGGACGCAACAAAAGGGTTCGGTTTTTAAAGGAACATCCACCGCGCCCGCCGGGGGACAATGCTTTGAAGAAACTCGAACCTTATATAATGATTTGGTTCGTTGCTTGTTCGGCGAATTCGGTTTGCACGTTTGGTTAGTCATTGCAGAGCGAGCAGTAGTGATCAAATTTGAATATGATCAAAACCAAGATGGTTAGCGGCCAGAGATGAGAGGGAACAATCGACCAAGTAGTGTAGTGGGAAATTGATGAAGTGGTTAGAACTGGGCGTGACTCAAATTAAGTTTAAATGAAAAGGACATGGATGTTTCATAGAATGCACAACTTCTTGTGACCAAACACAAGTCCAGAAGGTCGCTTACAAGCCAACAAGGCTCTCCTGCCGACCAAATATCATGAATGACAACTTTCAGGCTACTCAAGTAGGAAGTTGGATCTGGTCGGGATCCTTTTGAGATGAACCGAGAACAAGCGAGGTATCCCTGAAATCTTTGTGGTTTCAGCTAAGTGCCATGCATTGATCATCCAGTCGCAAGGAATTCTTTAAGGCCTGAGCTGGTCTCAGGTCTGATGGGATGGTGATGTGATGGGTTCACAAGGCAGGTAAGAGCATCAAACACTTTATAGACAGATTTCGCAATTGAACCCGATTGTGACACACCACAATATTTTTCCAGAGATCCCGACAAAGATTGACCGGATCTGATAGGTTTGGGTGCAAATACTGTTCATATCTGTTCATCATCACTCGGTACATCGGAAGCAGTTCGCTCCAAGTTAAGGACTTCCCGATAAAACCAAGCCACACACACAATCGTCAAGCAAGAAAAGGACACGGGTTTGCGTCAAAGCTTGACAATTTTAACACCCCCTCACGGTTTAGCCTTCAACCTCCGCATTGATGCAAACATGTGCCTGCCGCAATTGATTTTCCTACTCGCTGCGGGACGGACGACCCCTGTGTGCCTCAGAATCTTCTGCACCCCTTCCACATTGTGGCAAAAACTATTCCAGCATATCAGAGTTTGATGGAACATGTTACTTGTTCCAGAGATTTTCCAAATAGTTCCTGAAACACAGGCCTGGATGCAAGCAAGGTATCTTTTTGTTTGTGTATCTTCATTGTCTGTGTTCTGAACCTCATGGTTCTCATCTGGTCTATAACTTATAACTATCTATATAGTCCTTAAAAATCTTAAAATATATACAATTATTCCAAATTATTGCAATGGGTAGGTAGGCTACTCCCCCTCCTAAAAATGTATTCCATGAAAATCTTCCATCAAGACTAGAAATACGTCCTCTTGGATCGCGACATAACTCCTCACCTGCACCGAGGTGATACGGGAGTGAAAGCAAGCGCATCTGGAACCAAGATGTGATAGAACACAACTCTCATTGCCCAAGCTTTGCTCGAACCAAAGGCAGGTCGTTGAGAAACACAGGCAACAGTTAACAATTGTTTGCTACTTGTTCAATGTCCTGTCTTGACGACGAGTATAACCCCTTCTCAAGTCGGCCTACTCACGTAGAACCACTCAAATCACATATGGAACTACGAACAGCTGTCCCATGAATAAATGAAAACTGTGTGTTGCAAACTCTTCAAGCATGGCCAACATGTTGACAGCGTCGCCTGCATCACCTTCTCTTGGGGGCTCAAAGGATGAGAAACTGAAGGCTCCTGGCACGGAAAGAACAAAGGATAACAAAGGTCCGTGGTCCCAAGTAACATGCTGACATGCTGATTCAACTAATATCAACTGAATAATTATGTCACTATGTCAAAATCACTTGCTGGGTTTGAGGCGTTTTTCAGAGACATGTGACACGGTGGATTCAAAACTTTCGTTCAGGAGAAGAACACACACACATACACCTGCAGCCCACTGGGGTGAGTGATTAAGTCCCTCCAAAAGTCTTCTAAGATGCCAACAGGTGCATTGGGCTCCTGAGGTTCAAACTTCACCTTTGGGCCGGCTGACGCACCACTTGTCATACCTGGTCTTCAAACCGCTGGAAGGAAGTACTGCCGGCTACAGTCGGCTGGAGATCAACACTGGACTCAATGGATTGGAACCAATTACAACTGAGAAAGCTGCTTGAACCCTGAATCGAGCACCAGCAACTTTAATTGAACTGGTGATTAGGAACTGCAGAAAACCGAAGCTGCAGTACCTTGACAATCTTTCACAGTCCTTGCTGCCATGCTTCTTCTGGTACCATGAAGAGCCCTTGTTTGATTAATTAGTTTTGATTAGCCAAGATTTGCTATTGAACACCTCAAATAGGCCACAATGTGGAGAGCTCCTTCTGACCCTTCGTGGCTGAGGGCCGCACGCTTTTGCCTCTTGAGCTTTGGCTCTTCATCAGCAGCCCATGCGAGCCAATCCTGGACAAATGGTATCAGTAGGCGAACATGTCCAGCAACCGAGCAACAAATAAAAAGTTCTTCGATTCCAGTCCCTTTAACTTCTACATCAACTACCAACAAAAACAACAACCAACTCTACATGAACTGGCTCTCATTGTACAAAGGATACTTTGTGGCTTTCCATTGCGACTTGCACCTCGACCTCATCGGCTGGCACTTCTTCCTTTGCCTGGCAACACCCACTCGGTGTCAGGGAAAGATGATGGGAAAAACATTGTCGCACGATGGTGAATTCAAGGTCAAAACTCAGAGTCAAGCTTTGTTTGTTTCACTTGCTTAAGCTGTGAACGTTTGAGCCAGCCCCTCCTGCCAGTCTCAGTCTAACTACACCATCGTCTAAGTCCAGGAATTTCGGGCATCAAAGGCTATGTCAACTATGCCTAAGCTTCATTCACGTCACACATTACTAAAAGCTTGACAAAGCAAGAGTTTGAGGCTCTTGCAATGTATAACAAGCTTGCTTGTGAGGCAGGTGCTGAGCGAGATTGCTCACCTTCTGGGTGAATGACCCAAAGTTCTTGTGGCCGATGGCAGGCTACAAGAACAAAGTTCACACAAAGCTCAACAGGAAACACCCGCGCACGCACACACACACACCATCTGTATATGTCATGTGGTCTCCTACATAGCAAATTGAAGTGGAGGATCAAGCAGTGCAAACATACATCAAGCCTTTTTGGAGCTTAAGAGCACTGCAGCCATAAAGACGGACGCTCATCCAAATATGCCATCATTGAGTCATGTGCCTTCACAGATTCTTCTTCTTCTTCTTCCACTTCGACTTCTACTTCTTCCTCCTCGACTTCTACATCTTCTTCTTCATCCTCGAGGCAAGGTAAGTCAAGACAACATGATAGCCACATCCCACAGCAAACTACTCACTACCACCTTGATGCATCGCTGAAAGATTTCAGTGCAATGCGTTCGCCATTTGGCACACGTCAATTGAAAGCTACGGATTAGAAGACTAAACTCTTTTTCTTTGCTTTCCATCGCTTTCCCAACACCCTAGCCTAGCCTCGTCCTTGGCCATGGTGCGATTTGCGTGTTGCACTGCCTGCCACTCGATTTCGGGCCGAAGCCTTGAATCTGCCGTTCTTCGTGGGTGTATATAGTATAGCCATCCAGGCTACGTTCCATCAACTTTTCTCTACGAAGTCCAGGTACTTCCGTTAGTTCTTGCCTGTCAAAAACCTCTGAATCATGGTGCTCCAGTCCACCTGGTTTCACGCGCAACAAGAATGATCCAAAGGACACGCCCTTCTTGTGACCGTGACCACAGGTGGAGGCCTCACATGTTGTTCCATCGATTTTAGCAACCTATATTCGACCTTTCTTCTTTTTCTTGTTTCTTTGTTGCTAAGGTGGCCTCCAACCTACTTGCGATGGCCTCCACCCTAAGGCTCACGTTCATCTTCTAGTCTTGAAAGAAATCCAAGTTGAACATCCGTTGGCCATTGCCCCGAGTGAAGTATTCAATATATTCGGCGCATCAGCCTGCTTGATGTATCGGGTGGGGTCAGCCACGCTTGCGCCGCGCTCCTGTAACGAATTCTGGGCTCAGCACGATTCTTCCATAAGCTACACTGCTACACAATTGATATGTTGTTGTTAGTTTCTTTCAGGAAGGCGATGTCTGCCTGCGGGAAAAAGGAGCTTTGGAACAAACATGGAGTTGAGCAGTTTCCATGAAACATGGTTCTTGATTGTTTTCATGCCTACAATATGCTACAAGTACAAAGCAAAGCTCGTTCTTGCAAAGTTTACTATACGCCTGGTTGTGTTCCTCAACCACAAAGAGCAATTCGGATGTGAATCGTTTTGGGACTTGAAGTCAGCAACTAGTGAATGCTTGTTTGGTACCTGCCCATGTCCAGGATTATGGATCGATCCTTGTTCAGTGTTCCGTTCAGCCAGCTGATGTGGCACTCCTTTCAGTCTAAACATTCCTTTGTTACCAGTAGCGTCCTTGTTACTAGTAGAAATGCCAGGAGCGCCCCTAGTAGCGTCCTTGCTCCTAGTAGCGATGCCCTTTTGTTACTAGTAGCGTCCTCGTTGCACTTCATGACGAATGCTTTGATGTGCTTTGCTCCGACCAATCCGAACCCGTCGGACCCGACCATCCTGGAGGCTGCGTAGAATGGACATGGATGGTGCCAAGCCCAGGCAGTACAATGCTCCAATCTGGGCAACGCGAGCGTGCCACGAGAACGCAGGTCAAGTGAGGGACATTATTACCCAGCAAACAGATAGACTAGTCGCACTATAGAGTCAAGCATATATAATGTAATATAGTATAATATCAATACACAGTTATATACACGCATTGCAGGATCACATTGCAGCAACTGGCCAAAACTTAAACTTGTCTCTTTGTAGCAATAGATCTTGGCGACTCTTCTAAGCATCTGATTTCCGCTGTCTATGCTGCGGCTCAATTTCCAGAACCTACGCGATTCACTAACCTGTTACATGTTGTCAGTTTTCACGTTGCGCCTTCAAGGAATCTGAGCCTATCATGGTCCTTTACAAGACATAACTGCTTCCGACACGTTCCATCTGTGTGAGCATCAGCTGCAATTTTGCTGAGGTTTCAGCTACTTCATCGATGGCAATCTTCTTCGACAAGCCTCCAAATTCATTCAACCTTGCAAGGGACACTGGACAAACCTCGAAGCATGATTCTTCTTCTCCGGTCAAACAGCGGGTTGGCATTTAAGATCCCTTAGGGCAGCGGATTCGTTGTAAGGGGCTGCGATGTTGCTTTCGCCCTTTGGCAGCTGGATGCTAGCTAATAAGTACTTGATATTAACTACTTTACTTGATATTACTTGAGATCTTTTTGGCACAAAGGTGGTTGAAGCTTTCGGCACCTAACACATCTTCTCAAAACGACGCGACAACGCCAGGGCCAAAAAAAGGCAATGTGATGTTCGTGTCTTCGCCCCGGTCTTGGACGCTCGGCGAGGTCGACTTCCGATCTCCCGAGACCCGCGGAGGCACCACTTCATTCGAGAGGTCAACTTGGAGACATCGTCCACGGAGTGGTCCTCTGACTCGAAGCTGTCGACTTCCTTCTTGACCTCACCGCGGCACGCCCCAAGAACAAGACCATCTGACCCTGCCTAGAGGACGGTGGTCCACAAGCCAAGTTCTATATGTAAAACGTTTGGGGGTGAACTGTGCAAGTACAGGAATGTGCAGGAGAACCTGTTCAAGAGTATGCTGTAGCAATGCTGGAGCCTTGCTTCCCTTGTTTTGGAGTGAAAGGATTGAAGTTCCCAGCAAAAGCTCTGGCTGTTTGTGGAGCTACAGGCGATTAGAGGCGCAAAAGTTCTGGACGCGGTTCTGTAACATGTTGCAAACATCGTCCTGTACTTCTCATTATTTCACTAGCCATGACGCCATCTGAGCCCGGGACCACTAGGTGCCCACTCATCTTCGCAGCAGCCTCAGCCAACTCCGAGAAGACATCTCTGAAGGAAGATATGCCAAGGTGAAAGGTTGCTTTAGAAACATCTGGGTCCAGTTGGCAACGGTGCACTTGTGGGATTGGGCAAAGCTTTCAGCCACAACCCTCCAGCTTTAAGCCCCTCGGTCGGTTCCCGGTCGCCAAGACATCTTCGCCTCTCGAGGCCCAGACTTTCACGTAGCTGACGGGGTCGTCCAAACCTGAATGCATCCAAATCCCAATCGGTTGCAAGTTGTGTCACCCCATCCATGCTGTTTGGGACCCACAAACTATTCGTCTGGACCAGTCAATTGAGGGTGCCGCTAATTACTTGAAATGATGGCATTCAACCGGGTGTCTTCTTCAGAATGAGATGCTAGTGCCTGCGTCCCCTCTGTTTCTTTTTTTCAGCTGAACCAACTGGAGAGATCTGAGCAACGACCTCCAAAGCCAAATAGCTGCTTTAATATCACCCAGGAGTGTAGCGGAGTTACCAGTGTCTCTCTCAATGCACCTGATTGATTGCTTCATTGTTCCTCACAAGCAGCATCACTGAGCCAAGGTTGACACCTAGTCCATGCTCCTCCATATCCTTCAAAATTCGCATGACCTGAACATCTGAAAGCAAACACGCGGTACAATGCCGTGCAACACCTTGGAAGTCTCCAAATAATCAATCTGTGCTTATGGCAAAGAAGTCAATTATGGTATCCAGTTGATACAAGACTTTTTGTCAACCATCAGTAGTTTTGCAGCATCTGTATAGGTAATGAATCGAATGTGAACTTTGGATTGATAAGGCGGGTCCCGCCCACATGGTAGGTTGACGATTTGTCAAGTGTACCACTGTTCAGTTGATTCATTAATCATCATTAATCTGCTTACATATCCTCATCCTTTAACCAACATTGACACCCTTTCATTTTCATGCGATTGTGGAGTCATGAGGGTCGAACGCCTCTCTTGATTTCTGATGTGCTTTCTGTTCCGAAAGGATTGGGGAAAGAGTCGAATTTACGGAGTGGGTGGTGCTTTATTAGTTAGAGGGTCCAACCTTTGTGAGCTTGTCAAACGATGGCTTGTCACAAAGCATCTAAGCATCTAATCTATCAACCCTGAACCCTGGAAATCGGGTGCCAAAAGATAGCAGGAAAAGAAGTGATTCGAGCCCAGAAAGCATTGGTGCAGCAAAGGGATGGAGGGTGGTGGTGGTGGTGGTGGTAGGTGGTATTGGTAGACCAATCAACTTATTGAGTATGGTAGGGCAATGGACTATCGTGTTTGGCGCGTTTTGATCAGGGGTGGATTGAATTGGTACTCTCAGTTGGAAGGACAACCATTGACCGCCATTTTTCAGTTTTCAATTGCTGTATTAGTGCAGCTTAATTAAACTTGGGGAGGATCTTGTGGCTCGGTTTAGTATGGTGGGCTTGTTTGTTATTCCTGACTTGACATTAACCTTGAATCAAGTGTCGCCACTAGAACTGCACTTGGATTCAACGTGAGAGGGCATGACTCTCAGGTCACTGTGTCGACACAGTTGACAAGAGTTGAGCGGTGCACAATACCGATTGTACTTCTGAGATATGATGTACCCCTACTATGATAGCAAAAACTAAGACCCTTTGCTGATGTGATATCGGTTGACCAACCCAACTATATAATCAGGAAGCTTCTTTCAGTTAGGACCGTGGTCATTTCAGCCTAGTAATAGTACTTGACATCCTCAGGCCATGCTAACCACTGCTAACCAATCTAGTTCAATCCACATTGAAAGGCCACCTAAGATAATAATGTGCTGGCTCCATGAAGCATCGCACAAAAGAACCTGGCAACAATCCATAAAATCCCCTTCAACATGCAAGGTTCCCCCCAAAGAACAATCTTAGAAACGCTCGGAATGGTTTGGATGGAAGGCGTGTGCTCTGTGGCAAACATCTGCGTCATCCCACTTCGTGGGGCCCCCAACTCGGGCTGGGCCCAAAGCATCCAGCGCATCGGCCACCTGCAACGGCCATCATCGCGACGAAAGGACGAATCGCGACACGGTAATGAGCAACAGCAAGTGGCTGGGTGTGGGACAGGATCTGCTTCACGGATGATCTGAATCAACTCCGACTGAAAAGAATCCCAAACCACCCAGCAATGTTGTGAACCCTAGGATCCGAAAGCAATTTATCAAAATACCAGGTTTCAATTGGCTTCAATATCGCTGCCATCTGATCAGTCGGTTTAAGGTTCTCAAACACAGTCTGCCGTAGAGGATCCTACAAAAGATGGTCTTCTTGGCCCCCAGTAGTGCTCATTTGTCTTTGGGGCTCCGGTCTCCAGGTGAAACAGCTTTGGCTTTGCAAACGCAACCGAGAGCACTGCGGAGCTGCCTCAGTATGGTTAGGACGTTCTTCCTCATCCGGCTGCTGGGAGAGTCAACATATTTGATTGGGGCGTAGGTGAAAATGCATACGGTCGGTACTCCGCCCTTGCACCCAAGAAAGCGAAAGAACGTTGTCCCTAATAATTCTACTCTCTGACAAAGTTTGGGGGATCTAGGTTTGCATGTCAAATTCCCTAAACAATATCGCCAGATTCATCCAGATTCCCTTCCCAAATGCTACAATACGAGGGCTTTAGCAACCGTGCATTGGGTGTTCAAATTGAGGCAGCTAAACGTATTCTGCTGCACCTTCGGTGACTACTTATAAAACATAATGTATTCAGGATAGGCCTGGGAAACGTCGAACAGTACGAACTCAGTGTTGCTGCCGTCCGCGACTCCAACTACACAGGTACCCCCGGTGCCCTTGATTGTCTCGTGGGCGCTCGAATCTGAACCACTGAGCCGCAGGGCTTGTCCCACAACCACACGGCACAACATCATGATCCGCAATCCATCCTTCAGGGCTGGTCAAACACAACATACTATATATTCCATTATATGCCTATACAGTATACATATGTATATATAATTACATATGTCATATGTATATAAGATTATAGAGGTAAGGAATTATGTGCAAATGACCCAACGACAGTGATTCTTCATGTATTATGTCCATCAAACAACTTAAATGATCTTAAGCCAAGTGCTATATACCTGTCTGCGAGTGGCTTGAAGAGTGTCCTTGTTGGCTGAGGAGTAGCCATGGCTCTTGGACGCCCGATCGGCAAAGTAAACCCCTTTCCCAAACCGACCTCCACTGCTCGGGAGCCGAAAAAGCCCCGTGGAGATGGACTTGGCCGCCTCTTCACTGGTGCCATGGAAGAGCCAAACTTCATTCACGGTCTTGTCCAGCGTGCTTAGAGCAGAGACGGACAGCTGACTATAGCATTCTGGCTGCAAATCCAATTGTTCTGGGCTTCGGGCTCGGATCTCGGCCCTCTTATTGACATTATCTTTCCCAAAGATTGGAATCCTCGATGCGCAAGCATCGCACCACCTCACTTGTAGGCAGGGTCTGCTGAATAAGCTTGGTGCCCAAAGACTGGACATAGCCACCCTCGACCTCTTCATGGAAGGAGGCGCCTTCCTTTGCTTTTGTCATGGCACGCCAATACCAGGGTGGAGACATTCCTCCATTGTGCTCGATGTCACAACCGCTGTCATGACCAGGTCGACCGTACTTCTCGACTAGGAAGGGGCAACTTTTGCAGCAAGACTTCTTGCCTTTAGCAGCTGGTCGGCCACAACCCTCCCTGCAAAAACCTTTTGGGACAACATCGGTGGGCTCGGTGGGTTCTGGGCGAATCCAAGGGGGGCCTTCATCCAGCCCAGCACTTCTTGCATTGCAATCCCGAGAGTGTTTTCCTTCTGGACCTTTGCAATGCATGCAACAGGTAGAATAGTGACGGAAAGTTGAGCGCCCACAGCCATGCTTGCAAAGGCCCTCCTCAGTTGGTGTGACTCTGACCTCTGGCTCAGGCCGATCATCAGCTGAACAAACAGCACCCATGATCAATCGCTTGCACTCGGGGTTTGGAACAAAGCTGGAACAAGCACCTGCAGGTTTAAGTGTGCTGGACAACGAAAACTATGCTTGTCCTGACTTGTCCCTCCAAAAATAAGCCCGGTGAAGAGACCCTTTCCATTGAACATCGTTCGGCTGCAGGTGTGCAGAGTTGTCGTCCACTTGTCCATCTGGATCGACTCACGGTGATTTGAAAGAGCCCATTAGCCGCACAAAAGAGGGGAAACGTCCGAATACCACTGATATCGCAAACTCCACATTACCTTACAGTTTATGCTTAAATAGTCTTAAATCTGTTATCCTGTTATCCCTGAAAGGCCACAGCCATGCATGGGCGCCCCTTGATAGGCCTTTCTGTGGTGGGATACGGTTCAAGGCAGCTGCCCGGTCCGTGAGAATCATTTGGACTTGAGTCAAAACTCAAAACGAAATAGGAAGGTGACGTAAGGTGACATTCCCGGTAATCACTTTTGTTCATTGAGGGGGGTCAGCCAGTGAGGTCTCAGATTGCCATGCTGCCTCGGAGGGCTGCACGCTGCGGCCACCTGCTGAATGGGCAAGGTTTACAAATGGATTCCAGTTGTCTTCAGGTCAAACCAAAGACTAAGATGTCTCTGTTGCGATCCTTCTCCCTTCCGAGAAATGATCAAGGTCAACAAGGGCACACGAAGGGTAAGGGATGCAAAAGCAAAGCCATCAAGCCAAGAAGCAATATATTTTTTGCTCACAATCCCGAGTGTACAACCCCGTCTACTACCTTTGTCAACATTATGATGCTAAAAGCCTTACCAAGCACGTGCAGCCAATTCTCATGGCCACCAAGCGCCTAAGCTAGGCCCGTTGTCCGCGACTGCAAACACTCAGCAAGCACTCCCTACGGAGAGGGGGAAAGGGAGAGGTACAGTACAGGCTGGGTCTAACATTGAAGGTAGAATTGACATTTGACAACAGCAAGAGCATGGAGAGAGGGAGCGAGTGTGAGTGTGAGTGTGAGTGTGAGTGTGAGAGTGAGAGTGAGAGTAAGAGTAAGAGTGAGTGAGGGAGGGAGGGAGGGGGAGGGAGGGAGTGAGGGAACAAGCGAGCGAGCGAGCAACCGACCAATTGTTCACAGTAGTCACTGACAACAAGGATACATACCTATACCAAATTGATCCAAATTGTATAATTATGTATAATTCCATGCATCCCATATGTTATGTCCATGCTTATGGGCTACTTGGCCAGTCAATTCTGGTCTTGTACCGCTCTTCCTTGGTTCGAGCAATGTATGCTGGGCCTTTGCTCACAAAGTGAATGAACTTGTTCAAGGCCTGCCAGAAAAGCTCCAACCCCTCCAGCAAATGAGCTCTGGATGTCAACTCTTTACCTAGGCGGATGCCATCGTTCCTAGGTTGGAGGCCATCGCAAGAAATCGCAAGTAGGAGACCATCGCGTCAACGTTAATTAGAGGCCATCATCTCAAGTAGGCTGGAGGCCATCGCTTCTAGATTGGAGGCCATCGCAAGT